TTAATAAAGAAGTTGTTTCTTTTTTAAAAGTGGTGGTTGAGCTGGATCCACTGGTGATTCACGATGGCTTCAAAGGATCTGGAAACTCCTGAAGCTGTGTGAGACATGTAGTGTCTCTGTGCATTTCCCTAGGTAGAAGCTCCACGTTTAAGAATAGATTATCACTGAGGTCTCCCTGACCAATGAGGGGTCAGGAACACGGGGAAGTGCGCAGAACCCCACACAGGGGATGGCACATGGGGGCTTTGCTCTGGCGGAAGTGTTGGAAGCCACCCGTGTTACTGGCCTACGGTCAGGGCTCTGGCTTGGGTCCAGGTCAGCAGTGGGCCCCAGGATCTGGGACAGCTCTGCAGGTCAGGACTCATACCAGAAGGCCAGATGAGGGAGGAGAGGAGCTGTTTGTTGGCTAAAGCCCCTTGTCTTTAGGCATTTCGTGTCGTGAGGATGCATGTCCTCTCTAGGGTGACTTGGGGGTTGCCTGCTGCCTTGGGAAATGGAAATGGGGAGGGGAGTGCAGCTAAGGATAGTTTGGATAGGGTATTGAAAAGTGTGATGGCTTATCCAGAGTGTTTGCTCTGGGGGCTTAAATGGTGTGTATAGATCTTTTTTTTTTTTTTTTTTGAGACAGAGTCTCACTCTTTTGCCCGGGCTAGAGTGAGTGCCGTGGCGTCATCCTAGCTCACAGCAACCTCAAACTCCTGAGCTCAAGCGATCCTTCTGCCTCAGCCTCCCGGGTAGCTGGGACTACAGGAATGCGCCACCATGCCCGGCTAATTTTTTCTATATATTTTTAGTTGTCCGATTAATTTCTTTCTATTTTTAGTAGAGACGGGGTCTCGCTCTTGCTCAGGCTGGTTTCGAACTCCTGAGCTCAAACAATCCGCCCGCCTCGGCCTCCCAGAGTGCTAGGATTACAAGTGTGAGCCACCGCGCCTGGCCTAGATCTTTAATATCATTGTCATAACAGCCGTTAATTGAGCATTTATGTGGCAGGCATTGTACACTTTATATAGTGTCATTTACTCTTTGCTCAACCCTATGCAGTTGGAACCACAATTATCCCATTTTACAGATGAGCAAACTGAGGTTCAGAGAGGGAAGGGCCGCAAAGCTGGTTAAGAAGCAGTGTTGAGGGGAGAAGGAGCAGGTTGGACACATGAGCAGGCCTGCTGGGTGTGGGGGGCACCATAGGGAACATTCCACAACCCTTGCTTTGGTTTTGAAAATAGCTCTTCTCTGCACACCACCACCTAAGCCCAAGCACTGAAATCAGAGGTCTCTGCTCCTCATCCAGTCTAAGCTGGGATTCAAGTCAGGCAAGTGGTAATGAGGCACTGTCCTCCGGCATTTCATTCCTTTGTCATTCTTTCATTCACTCATTTAACACACACATTGAGAACTTGGATTTGGCCAGGCACTGGGTAAGGTGCTGACTGAAAGAATGAATGAGGCTGGGTCCCAGAACATCAGGGTATCTATCAGAGGGATTGTCACCAGGCTATGTGTGGCTCACTATATGTGCCCCCGCCCCAGCCATGTGTTTGGTGTCCCGGGAACCTTAGCCAGGGTGGGGTAGATGATCCGTCCTGTGGTCAGCCTGGCGGGTATGGGAGGGGGCTTTGGAAGCATCTTAGGCACCTGGACACCTGGGCACTTCATTGCCTGTTTTACCCAGTTGGCTCCTTGCATGTTGGTTCACCAAACCCCGGGACGACTCCTGTGCCCCTGCAGGTCTTAGTCTTTATGGGGCTGAAGCTCACACTATCTTGCAGCTTCTCGGTTTCCATTTAAATGTCTCTTGGGAGTGATTTTCTCTCCGTCCCCATTGCAGGTCCTCAGGGACCTGCTCCAGTTGGCAAATAAGCTCTCTCTTCTCCTAAACATCCATCCTTCCCTCCCAGCTGCCTTCCCACATATTGTCATTATGGTGAAAAATATGCAAATAACTTTGAAAAACAGTCTCCCAGCGAATGGGTTTTCACAATGTAATAAATTAACCCCATAATGTAATCTGGATCCCATGACCATCCATCATGCCGATGCGATTAAGATATGAAAAACCAGATGCCGTGGAGCCCCATGGATAGATGAGTCTCCACAGAGCTCCCCCGATGGTCCCGTGCTGACTCAGGCCCTGCCCCATCCCCAGCTTCTTGGTCCCCATGGGACCTGAGGCCATCAGAGGTTTCAGGAACATCTGTCTAGCCTGTTTATTTCGCAAATGAGGAGACTGAAGCCTTTTGGGGGTTAGGGGTCAGATAAATTTGAATCCTTCCTCATTTGCCTCCTAGCCAACCTGTTTGTGACTGGCTCGGAATCCAAGACCCCAAACCCAGACATTTTTATCCATGGGTTTCTAGGTGACAAAGTGGGTACCCCTGTGTCAAAGGCTGTCCTTCCTCATAGGAAAAATGAGGATTTATGTGCTCCAAGGTTTCTCTGAGATTCTTAGCTCTGTATGTCAGGAGATGTATGGGTGGCTTGTACTGTGTCTTCTCAGGACAGAGGGCTGGGGCTGGGGGCCCATATGCCTCACACTGTGTCCTGGAAGCCACCCCACAGGAGTAGTTGGGTCTGAGCCTCCTCACCCCAGGCCCCGGTCCAAAGGCCCCTTTTACAAGACTGCTACTGCCTATGGCCAATGAAAAACTGTTCTAGCAGCCTCCAGAAAGAAGGACCCTCAATTTCCCCAAGTTACTAAACATCTGCAACGATTAAATCTCCAGGAGCTGGGCGACACCGTCTACAAGCCAGCTAGCTGCCCAGCGGGCTGTGCGTGGAATGGCATGATGTGGGCAGGGTCCCCGTGTCTTGAGAAGGATTGCTGTGCTCAACATGTGCTGCCAGCTTCATCAATTCCTGAAACAAAATCATCCATCCCTTTGGGTTAAGCATGGCAATTTTACAAAATGCAGATATTCTCTGTGAACAGCCCAAACGTGTGGCGATCCTCACACCTTCCTGGGCATCCGGGCCCCTGGGGAGCTTGTTAAAGGGCCAGTGCCCTGCTGTGCACCCTGATTGGATCTGGTAGGTCGGCAGCTGTGTGTTTAATAGGCTCCCCAGGGATTCCGATGCAGATTTCCTAGGGCTGCATTTTGAGAAATGCTCTGCTGACATTCCTGATTTAATTAGCCAGGTTACTTATTCTCTCCCTGTCCGATGTGTGTAAATGCAGGTTTGAAGGCATCTGGTGGGGGGCTGGGCACAGGTCCCCAATAATCAGCAGTAAACGGTAAACATTCCTGGCTGGATCTGTGTACAAACAGATGGACAGGACCCCTAACAAGCTCTTACATCCCTGGAGGTCAGAGACAAAGTCCCCTTGGCTTCTGGTCCTAACTGGTCACGCATAACTCTGTGGCCACTTCTGTGACCTTAGTTTTCCCATCTGTAAAATAAGGGGGCTGTAAATAAGTTGAAGCCCTGGTGTCAGGATAGGAGTTAGAGCTGGGTTTGTATTTCAACTGTGTGATTTTGGTGAATTAGAGAACATCTCTGGGCCTGTTTAACCATCTATAAAATGGGGCTGTAAAATGGATACTTAGCTCCTAGGGTTAACGAGGGAATTAAAGAAATCAGTGTTTGACACATAAGTGCTCGATCATGTTGGTAATTATTTTAATATTAATATCATCATCATCTCTGAGGGCTCTTTCAGCTCTTCCAGACTGAGTCCATGCCTGGGGCGCTCGGGAGCAGTAAAGCACCTCCGCGTCCCCCCCCACATCCCCGCCCCTCAAGCTGTGATACTTGGCAGATTACTTGTCCTTTCTGAACCTCACTTGGCTCATTTGTAAAAAGAGGATAATTACAGTAAATGCGGCATGCAGTTATTCTGTGATAACCCACGGACACACTTAGCTCAGGCTGGAACTCAATAAAGGTCAGCTATTGTTATGAAGCTTGGGCAGTCACACCAGGTTGCATTTAGGTTCCGGGTGGGGGTGGGGTGGGGGCGGCCCCGGTGCACCCTCGTCCTCCTGTCCCCGCCCCCGAGCCAGCGGATGCGTCCGCGGTTGGGCAGGTGCGGGGATGGCGACTCCGGGCTAGCAGAAGACGCGGCTGCCCTTAGTCCCCAGCTGTGCCCTGCACCTGGCCCTCGCCAGCAACCCCTACCGGTCCCCTTCCGGCGCCTGCTAAAGTAAGAGAAAGGCCTTTGAGGGGAAAAGACGTAGCGATCCGACCCCAAGTGGAACCCTAAGTTGTGCTTTTTGCCCCACCCGAAGTGGAAGGGAGGCTGCGCGGCACTTTCCGCCCACTCCCCCGCCCGGCAGTTCAGGGCGCCGAGGCCGGGTCCCGTCCCCTCCCGAGCCCCGCCCCCGGCAGCCGCTCGCCCCGCCCTCGCGCTCCGGAGCCGCCCAGTGCGAGGCCCGGACTGGGCAGCGCGGGGAAGTGGGCGTGGCATGAGGCGGGCGCTAGGACCCGCCGGAGCCGCGGACGTCACCGAGCGGCGCCGCGGGTTGAGCGGGAGGCGCGAGCGGCGCGGTCAGTGGTCCCCCGCGTCCGGGCCGGGCCCGAACCGGGGCGGGAACCGAGGCTGCAGCAGGTACCGTGGAGGAGGAGGAGAGGGAGGGATTCCCGCCGCGTGGCGGGGAACCCAGCCGGGCAGGAGGCGGAGTCTTATCCCAACCTAGCCTCGCTTTCCGCGTGGGCCGCTTTACGCTCCCGGCCCTCCGCATCCAGCTGTTTTCCTCTGCGTCCGCGGCCCTGTCCTTTTTATGGGCACACGGGTCTTTCCTAACCCGCCAAGACAACGGGGCAAGGGGCCGCTGGGGACCACTGGGCAGAGGCTGGTCGGGGCGCCGCTGATACCCCCAAGTTATGACGCCGGCGTGGGGGGTCCTTCCCAGCTGCCCTACTGTGTGGCTGTCTTGCCCCATCCCCCCAGACGGAAGGGAGGGGAGGGGCGGTGGAGGCTGGCGGGCCCTGCTGCTCCTAGGCCTTTGGAACTAGCCCCTACCTTGTTCCACCTCCCAGGTAGCAAAAAGGATGACTACGCTCACGCGACAGGACCTCAACTTTGGCCAAGGTAGGGAGGCTGGACCTCCGGGCCCGCGGGGAGGGGTGGCCTGGGCCCGTAGGCTTCCCTGAGCGCGCCGGGTTGTGCCTCTGCAGTGGTGGCCGACGTGCTCTGCGAGTTCCTAGAGGTGGCAGTGCACCTGATCCTCTATGTGCGGGAGGTCTACCCGGTGGGCATTTTCCAGAAGCGAAAGAAGTACAATGTGCCGGTCCAGGTGAGCCTCCCAGGTGGGGCTGGGGCCACGGGTCGTCTCCGAACCACAGAGTGGTAGAAGGTGGATTATTGAAAACTTTTCCACTTTTAGGTCCAGTCCACCTTCGGCTTGCCCTTGCCTTCCAGTTTTGAAGTGTTTTTTTACTAGCCCCTCGGAAGGGAATTCCCCTGGCCAGAAGTTAGGGACCAGGCCCTCGGATTATAGTTGCCCTGGGGGCATGGTGGTGAACTGCTGAAAGAGCTCGAGAAACTGGTGAACCATGGTGTGGAGAGGGAATTGCTGAAAACTTCCAGAGCCTTCTCCCTCCTGCCATTCACCCTGAACTCTAATGGGTTGTTGAAGGTTAAAAGGCAAAGGCAGTAAACATGCCGCTGCTGTATCTCCAGTCCTTAGAAGTGCCTGTCCCTTGGCAGGCACTCAGTAAACATTAGAATAATTGACCAATTACTGGCAGAGGGTGGAAGCTTAAAGGATATACATATGGTCCCCAACTTACAATAGTTCACCTTGGATGATTTTCAACTTTACGATGGTTCGAAAGTGATGCTCGTTCGGTAGAAACCATACTTTGTATACCCATATCACCATTCTGTTTTCCACTTTCAGTACAGTGTTCAATAAATTCAGTAAATTACATGACATATTCAACACCTTGTTATAAAATGGGCTTTGTGTTAGATGATTTTGCCCAACCATAGGTAATGTTAGGTGTTCTGAGCACATTTAAGGTAGGTTCAGGCAAGCTATGATGTAGGTTAGGTATATTAAATACATTTTCGACTTAGGTTATTTGATGGGTTTATCCGGACATAATCCCATAGTAAGTCAAGGAGCATCTGTATAGGGAAAAAGAAAACAGAATGAACACTTACTGAGCACCCACTGTGTACTAGGTACTTAATTCATTTAATCCTCACTTGATGAGATCTTCACAGATGAAATAATTGAAGCTCAGAGAAGTTATTTGCCTAAGACCAGTTCTTAACTTTTGAAATCTGATAAAGTTTCTGGATCTTTTCTCTGGAAAAGTGCCTATCACAACTCCGTGTACAATTTTAGGCACTTTTCAGACTCTGGAGGAGTCCATGGACCCCACATTAGGAACCCCTAATGCTATATTAAATGCTAGTGTTGAGATTGAATTCTTGTCCTCTAGTTTCTCTTTCTCCACGGGTAGATTCACAGTTCTTAGCCCCCTGAGGGAAAGTGGTCTCTTGGGTAGGGAGCCCTAGGAGCTGCTGGACTCTGTCTGAAGGCAGGTGGGATCTTGGGCTCCTGGAGGGGTGTTGGTGGTTTCCACATCTGTGCTTTGGGCCTCACCAGCCACGTGGGGTTGTGTGCAGATGTCCTGCCACCCGGAGCTGAATCAGTATATCCAGGACACACTGCACTGCGTCAAGCCGCTCCTGGAGAAGGTGAGGGGGCGCCATGCCCTTCCAGCCATCTCATCCCCAATCTGTCCCTCCATGTTCACCGGCGCAGCTCCAGGATGGGGAGTCCATTCGAGGTCCCCATGGCTCTAACATCCAGAAGCCTGTTCCCTGTACTCTGTAGACCACCCCCACCCAGGGACAGGTCCCAAGGCATGTGGTCCATGTTCTGGGTACCTTGGGCCTGGGTTAGTGGAGAGGGCTCTGAGTAGGGGCTGCCTGGAGGGTTCTGGGTTCTGCCCCCAACCCTGAAAGTTGTCTGGGCTTCCTCCTCCTATCTTGTCCTGGTCTCAGACTTCCCAGGACCCCTGTGGGTCCCAGGCATCCTCTCTCAACCTGTATCACTCACATCTGAGGGTGCCAACTTGACCTTCTCAAACCTGCTCTCTGGGCTCTCAGGGACCTGAGCAGCGAGCAGGGCTGTGGGTGCACCCTTACCCATCCCTCCTTGGGCAGGGAGGGGTTGAGGCCGGTGGGGTGCCCGGCTCTGCAGTGGGGGAATTCCTGTTCTTGCAGAATGATGTGGAGAAAGTGGTGGTGGTAATTTTGGATAAAGAGCACCGCCCGGTAGAGAAATTCGTCTTTGAGATCACCCAGCCTCCGCTGCTGTCGATCAGGTGAGCTGCCTGTCCCCTCTCTGCCTGCTAGCTGATGTGAGGTCTGTCTCTAGCAATACATGTCCCCTGTCCCTACCTCTTTAAGGCAGTCCCTGAATAACTTGGTGAAGGTCTGAGAGGAGAGAGGGCAAGATGTGCCAACCTGCCAAGGGTTCACCCTGTTAGTGGCTGAGACAGGGCCGGGCACTGGCCTCTGTGGACAGTACACAGGTTACACAGACTCCACCCTGGGTCACACCTGGAAAATCATAGTATTGGTGAATGGCACCTCATTTAACAGATGGAGAAACCAAGGTTCAGAGACATGACATAACGACCCAGGGTCGCCTGAGTGGTGGCAGAGCCCAGGACACAGACCTGGTTTCCTGACTTCTCAGTCAAATGTCCAGTCCACAGTCAACTAGAAGTTGACCTTGGGCGCAAGGGTTAGCTGGTCAATTGCATGCTTTCTCCAGCGAGGTCAGGACACTAGAATCTGGCACCAGCCTGTCCCTACTGGCTGTGTGGCCTCAGACAGGCCCTTTCCCCTCTGGACTTGGTGTCCTTGTTGTCCAGCCTGGCTGCACATTCTGCCTTCATCTGGAGTGGGCCGGGCATGGGTTGTAAACTCTGGTGACAATAACTACGTGGACTAGATAAGGGAGCCGGGCCCTAGAAGCCAACACTCGGAGGCACCGGAAGCGCTCTGGACCCCAGGTCTGCATCCAGGGTTGGCTGCTGCTGCTGGTGGGAAGGTGGGCACCATGTGATGGGAGACTTCTCACTCCCAGCTCAGACTCCCTGTTGTCTCACGTGGAGCAGCTGCTCCGAGCCTTCATCCTGAAGATCAGCGTGTGCGACGCCGTCCTGGACCACAACCCCCCAGGTGTGCCCACTCCCTATCCCCTCTTCCCTTGCCATTTCCATGGTTACCTGGGGTTGGTCTGTGTTCCCAGGTCCCTGTTTGGCTGGCTGAACGTTTGGCTGGCTGAACCTCGTCTCTTCCTTCCTGCCCTTCAGAATCCCTCTGAGAGTCACCTCCTCCAGGAAGCTTCCCTGATTGACTCTACCTGGCCTTAATCTCCCTGTTGACTGCCTTTTCTTAGCACTTACTTTACACTCTGCTATGGGGCGGGGAGGGGCTGCTGAGCCAGCGAGGGAGGTGGGAAGAGGCTGGGCCCAGTGGCAGGCACCCCGCAGCCCAGCTCCACCCACCTCTTGCTCCCCAGGCTGTACCTTCACAGTCCTGGTGCACACGAGAGAAGCTGCCACTCGCAACATGGAGAAGATCCAGGTCATCAAGGTGAAATGAGACTGGGCTGGGGGGTGGGCAGGGAGGCTGCTGGGAGGCTCTGAAGATATGATGCCACAGTTCTGGGAGGGCAGGGGCATTGCCTGTGGCCAGGGCCTGGCACCCAGCGATTCTTGTGTTAATTCTGTGGCCACACGCTTAGCCATTATTCCATCTGGGCACTCAGCTGAGAGCAGCACAGATCGAGCCTCATGCTGGGGACACTGGCTCATATTGGCTCTTCTGAAGTGGGGGTTCTCCAGGGAGGGGGTCCTGGCCCACTAGTTTCAGAGTTGGCGCTTGGGACTTGTTAAGTCACTTGGGGTTCTAGAGACTCGACCTGTCCCGCCAGCAGCTCCCTAGTGATGCTGAAGCTGCCTCAAGTTGGAGGCCCACCTCCCCCTACCTGGAAGGGGAGGGGCAGCAAAGTGAGGGCAGGCCAGGGTCTAGCCCCTTCCATCCCTCACCTTGGTCCCTTCCCCAGGACTTCCCCTGGATCCTGGCGGATGAGCAGGACGTCCACATGCATGACCCACGGCTGATACCCCTAAAAACCATGACGTCAGACATTTTAAAGGTGAGCTGCATGGAGACCACAGAAGCTTTATTTAGAGGATGCTTAGGTGGTGAGGCTGGTGCTGAGGCCTTGCCAGGGAGCTTACAGATCAAGGCTTGGGGGCGAGGACCAAGGAATGCCCGGTGTAAGGCTTTTCCTATCTCTCCCCTTTCCCTTAACCTTGCTGGGCCCAGGGTAGGGGCCCTGGCTGGCTGGCTTACCATGGCTGTTTGTTTCTGTCCCTTAGATGCAGCTCTACGTGGAAGAGCGAGCTCATAAAAGCAGCTGAGGCTCACCTGCCACCCCACTGATGCCAGAACTGTCAGATTTTGGGGGCCCCCAGCCTAGGGCAGCGCTGCAGGACCACCCTTATTCCAAGTGCTCTTACTGCCTCTATGTAAGGACCACCCGCCCTCCAGCCCAGGGCTGCTCAGGTCTGGTTGCCTTCATGGAGGAAGCCTCCCCCAGGGCAGTGAAAGATGCTGGGACCTTGATTCCTCAGCCCCCTGGGGTTCAGCGGCCAACACTGTCTTGTCTCAAATACTGTACTGTGAGTTGTTTCAATAAAGGGGCCCCAAGGGCTGGGCTGAGCTGGGCTGTCACTAACTGGAGTGGGAGGGAGAGGTGTGGCCATATTAACCTGGGGGAGGGGCTGCTTCTCTACCAAAGTGCCACAGACCCCTCCCCCAACCTGGAAACCCAACCCCAGGCTGGCTTTACTGAAAATGTTTATTATGACAAAATATCGGAGCTACGTGAACGGTACGTTACCATGAGCTGGCTGGCGTGCCCAAGGTTGAAAGTGGGGCGGGAGCTCCTGGGACAGGGTGCCTCACTGCCCGCTCCAGGCCCAGCTCTTGCCTGGAGGGGCCTTTGGCTGAGCCAGACAGGGGATGGATGAGTGGCTGTCAGAGGACGGACTGTCAGAAGGGCCTGTGGAGAGGAAGTGCGGAGGGCCGGTGGGCAGCTTCCTCCTGCCCCTGCCGTTGCTCGAGCTGAGCAGTGGAGGCAGCCGGGTTCCCGGTCATCTCATGGCCGATGATGATGCTGCTGTTGGTGACCCGGGGCCCATACCAGCCTGCCCAGAACTGGGTATCCTTGCCCCCATGCTGAAAGAGGATGTGGCGGACGCCTGGAGGGTAGTCTGAGAAAGTGTGGGAGACCTGAGGGGAGAGGAAGTGACCACTGAGACTGGGGAGGGTGACCCCGCAACTGGAGAGGGGAAGGGAGGAGCCTGTCCTCGGGGAGAAAGCTGCCCAGGCCAGAAGGCAGGGGCTCCAGGTGTTGGGGCTGTCCCTTGTTTCCTGCCATCCTGGCCCTGGGGGAAGGGGGTGGCCAGAGCAAGCAGGGGAGGCCTCACCTCAGTCCACGTGGCATCGTTCCACTGTTGGATGGTCACAGGCGGGGGCTCGAAGGAGGCCAGGACGATGTAGTCTGCTGAGACCAGCTGCACTCGGATTTGGTAGGTGCAGCCACAGTCTGCTCTGGCTGCGAACCTGGGGAGGTGGGGTTGAGAGCTGCCCCAGGGGCCCACGAGGTGGAATTTCCTTTCCCTGAGCTTGGCTGGAACCCCCTTCTGCTGGTGCTGCCCTGCCCAAGAGGCCCAGCTGGCGTCGGCATCCCCTGGGCCTCACTGTGGCCCTGGGGTAAGCAGTCTGTCCATGTTGGGCCTCAGTTACCCTATCTGAGAAACAGGGCAACTCTTTTGGGCATTCTCCTCAAGATGTGACCTCATAAAGCAAAGGCCCTCTACAGAGACAGAGGCCCTGACTGTTCAAGCTGTGTCGCCTGCACTTCCAATGGACTGGGCTGTAGATTCAATGGCAGGCTCCAGGGGTGACCTGTGTGATGGGGCTGGTAGAGTCACCCTCTGCTCAGCCCAGCTGCCCCTCCCCCCGCAGCTCTGCATACCCCTCCAGGCTTCTTCCTTTCCCGTCAGGGTGGTGGCCCTGGGGGCTGGCTAGAACTGGGGTCCTGCTTCTGCCTTGGGCCAGGCCAGACCCCTGCACAGCTCTGTGTACAGAGTAGGAGCTCGGGAAAGAGTCGTGGGGTGAACAGGGAAAAGGGGCAGGGGAGGCAGGAAGGCCTGTGAGTCTCCACCAAGTCCAGGGTCCTCTGTTCCAGGGCCTGTTAGTGACATCTCCTCTGGGGGGGGCTGCAGTCTTCCCATCTGCAAACGGGGGCTACTGTGTCCTGCTGACTATGTCACAGGTTGATGGGGAGCCTAGAGGTGCTGCTGGGTGAGCAGGCGCTGGGTCCTGTGGCAGAGGGAGGGTGTGCCAGGTCTGCCTGGCTCTAGGGGCAGCCCCTGCCCCAGCACACTGCTGGGCACAGAGTGGGCACTCGCTATGAGTAACAGAAGAGGGACGGATGTAGAGTGTGGGGATACAGGCCACGCGCCCCACTCACCAGTCTTTGACCACGATGTTGGGCCGAAATGTGTCCATGAGCTCCTCCCAGTAGCCCTCGGCCTTGAGGTCCACCAGCTGGGACTTGAGGCACGTGCTGGGGAGCGGGGAGAGAGATTGCATCCCCTGGTGTGCTCCACAGGGCCTTCCTCGCCCAGGCGTTGGCAGCCCTGGTGAAGCCAGGGGGTGGTTCAGGGGACCCAGGGTATCCCTTGACTGCTGCAGGACCAGCACTGGTTGCTGCTGCCTCTGGCTCCTACCCTGGTGCAGGCCCATGAGGAACACATGCATGGAGTGTCACCCACTTGTGCCTGGGTGGCCTCTGATCCCAGTCCAGAGGCCCAGACACCTGGGACACCAAGGAGGGCACCTCTGTGAACTCACACGCCTGGATTAGAGATGCCTGCAGACACCCCTGACTTAACTGCCCAGTGGGCGCCTGGCCTCCTTCAGATGACATCCATTCCCACCACCCAGCCACTGAGTTACTCGCTCCAGGAAGCCGGGGACCCTGAGCAGGATTGGGGGCCACCTGTCTTGAGCTTCGCAGAGACCCTCCCTTAGGCCTGAGACTTGGCAAAGGTGTCCTGACCCTCTACCCCTCCACTTGAGCCTCCTGGGTTCAGTCTTTCTTACCTGTACGATGTAACAAAGTACTTCTTGACTTTGGGATCAGGAAAATCTGTCCCATGGTCTCCAGGGAGGCTCTCCACCTTCCAGTGGTCACCCCCATTGGAGTCGATTCGCCATGATCCCATATCCTCTAGGAAGATGGAAGCAGAGGTGAGATCCCCTCCCCACCAGGTGCTGGGAGGACTGGAGGGAGGGCGGCTGGCGTTAGCGAATCCCCTGGGGGGCAGGGCTTGCTCCCACTCAGATGTCTGGGGCTGTGGACGCCAAAGGGTTAACCAGCTTGTTCCTTCTTGAGGGCATTATGTAGCCAAGGTCAGCCCTGACCAGTTCAAGTGCACCTTGGAGCACCCCCACAAAGCTCCCTCCTCCAACACGTTCCCCCGTTCCCATATCATCTCTGACTGGGACCCTTCCCTCCCACATAGCCCAAACTGGCTTGACTCCTGACGTGAGGCTGGAGAAAAGAACACGAGTCACCAGAAATTCTAAACCAAACCTTTCCTCACTTCATGTTGTGGAGCTCTGAGAAATACCCAAGTATCAGTTCTTGAAAAATTAAATTACCAAGGGTCTTTGACAATACTGTCCTCAGTGGCTAACGCGAATTCATCCCTGTGTGGGCTGCTTCCCTGACCGCTGACATCCACCGACGTCCAGGAGGGAGAGGCCCCTGGTTAACTACATAACCGGTGTTGGAGGGGGACCCTGGGAGGACTGATTTGCGGTTTTGTTGGAGGGTTGTGGGGACCTACTATTCTGAAATGGCTCGGATGGCCTCTGCCCAGGGTGGGAGTGCTAAGAAGGAGGACAAGCATCCTCTGGGCTGGTGGCTGTGGTAACCCCCAATTTGTCAAAGGACCTCCATCAATCAGGCTCGGCAGATTTCGGGGTTATCCCCTTCAAACTGAGCTTAGAGGACCTTAGAAAACAGTGGCGCTTCTCTACCCAGGCTGTCCTGAACAATCACCAGGGCGCTTTTCCAAGTGACTCACTTGCTCCCTATACCAGGAGCCCTGGGCACCCCCAGGAGACAGCCAGAGTAACAAATGCAGGAGAAATCCGAGCAAGGCCTGACCTGACCACTGCCGGCCCAGGGCAAGGCAGGGCCGCAGGCAGCTGTCACGGCCGAGAGGGCAGCGTAGCTGGGCAGCTTCTGAGTGGGATCTGGGGCAGGCAGAGAGATTGTCTGGGGTGTTGTCTACGGGGTCTCTGGGAGGAGCCCAAGACCTTTACTGGCCAGGACCAGGCCCTGGAAGCTGGGCAAGTCACTCATCTTGGAGCCTAAAGCTTCCCATCTGTAAAATGGAGCCCATGCTAATTGGCCAACTCCCAGGATCCTCGTGAGGGTGAAGGGAGAAAAGGGATATGAAAGGGACCCTAAGTGCACAGACCATGCTTCATAATCTGCTGCTGCTGTGGCCCCAACGAGAAGCATGGTGCCTAGTATACAGTAGGTGCTAAATGAATGATAGGGAAAAAGCCTTGGCAAATATGAAAGAATATTACAGGCTAAACGGGGACCTCAAACTATATGATCACAGTCACCTCTAAATCCTCTGTACAACGAGGATAATGGGAGTGTGGAGAATTCATTTGTAAAGACTTCACAGATGTGACACAAGAGGCCCTCGAAGAGCACTGGGCAGCTTGGACTGAACTACAGGGACAGCTGGATCTGCAGTGTGTTCTCTCAAACGTTTCCTGAGCACCTGCTATGTGAAGGTGTCATCGTGGACACTGAAGAGTGGCAGACAAGGTCCATCAGGCCCCTGGAACTTGAAGTTTGTGGCAGAGAAAGAAAAGATAAGGTAATTATGAAAAGTGCTATCAGGCACTGAATGGGGGTGACATCATGGAGGTGGGGCAAGCTGTTTTTAGACTGGGGGGGTCAGGGCAGGTCTCTGGACTGAGACCTGAAGAAAAAGGAGGAACCAAGAGAGTGAGGTAGGTGTTAGGGGAGTGAGAGAACATTCCAGGTAGTGCAAAAGCCCTGAGGCTCAGGGTGGGAAGGAACCAGCCCCGTGGCAGCCCCCATCTCACCCCAGCCCACCTTCCGCACACGGGTTGCGCAGGAGGTTCCTGCGGAGGCTGCACAGGAAGTAGAAGATCTTCCAGTTGTCCACGGGCTGGTCCCAGTGCTCGGTGATGAAGCCCTCGAGCACGCACTTGCGCTTCCAGAGCGTCACAACGTCAATGAGGTCTCGCCAGAGGCTGCAGACGGGCCGACAGTGCAGCAGGAGCTGGCGGGCGGGCACGTGCGTGAACAGCTCCAGCAGGATGTTCTCCGGCAGCTCGTTGATGCTGACCAGGGCCATGGCTGTGCTGGGGTGGGGCGCACCCACAGGCCTGTGGGGGCGACAGCGGTTATGAGCCCTGACCAGGCAGGTGGGCCCTCAGATCCCTAGAAACCCGGCCGGGGACTCCTCTCTGATGGTTTCATCTTCCGTGAAAACCGGAGGGGTTAGACAAGCAGCATTTGTGAGGGTCCTTCTGGTACACAGGAGGCCCTCAACAGAGTGGTCACATGTCACGCACATTTGGAAGAGTACAATAAAAACAGTCTTTAGGGACAAATTCTTGTAAAGGTCTCTCGCCTCATTAAAAAAATGCTTAATTTTAGAGCCAGGGGGCGGGTGAACAGTAAGATTTTGTGGAGGCCTCTCTGTTGTCTGCGAGTCCTGCGGGCTCTGCTCTGTGAGGGTTTTGGTGATTGTTCTGTTACGTTACTGTCGTGAACTCACTGTGAGAACATGACATCTTTTTTACACCCCCGGACTCATAAATGCTCGCTCTGTGGGGGGCTAGTGCTGAGAAACACCCTCATCTCCTCACATGCTCACTTTGGCCCGGAAGCCAGATGTGACGTGATAAAACACCCCAACGAAGAGGCCACACAGCTGTGGGCCCGGCTGCCTCGGGGCGAGTCTGCTTGGGAATGGCCGGAAAACGAAGCAGGTGGAGGGTGCCTGAGCAGACTGCCTGGGTTCGAACCCCGACCCGCAGTGACTAGCCGGGAAGCTGTGAAAAGGCTCCGGGAACTGTCCTGACCCCAGAAGGGCCGGGACTGAGTATAACTGAAGCACCTGGCCCAGGCTGGCACAGAGAGGTGCGGTTACCATCGCTGCCACCACTAGGGCACAAACCTGACCCCAGGAACACCTTCCTCTCTCTACCTCTGCGCTGCACACAGGTTTTGGAAAACTTCCAAACAGTGCCACCCCCCCCCCCTCGCCGGAATCCGTGGCCCTAAGGAAACCCCAGGTACTTGCCCCAGGCCGGTGGGGGTGGGCTGGCAGCCAGGGCTCTGCACTGTCACTCAGATGGGCTGGATCTGCTCACGTGTGCGTAGAATGTTCACCTACATGTAGGGAAACAGAAACTTGCTGGCTGCTTCTGCTTTCCATAGAGCCCTGGCCAGAGAAGCAGTGCGTCGTCTTCTTAAAGCGCCCATCCCAGAAAACACGCAGGTGGGAACGAGTTCCAGCTGCTGCCCCGGGAAGGGGACTTCAACACGGCAGCGAAGAAAAACCAAGCTAAGAAAGGTACTTATGCCTCGTGAAAAATGCTTCTGATGGAAAAACCCCCGAGTGTGGCCAAATCTTCTCTTCAGGAGCAACTGTAAACACTTAAAAATATGAAATCTG